TTCTCCCTCCCCCTTCCTTACTCCCTCTCCCTTTCCTCCCTCTCCCTCCCTTCCCTCTCACTTCCTTCTTTACTCCCTCCCCCTTCCTTCCATCCTTACTCCCTCTCCCTCCCTTTCCATCCCTTCCTTCCCTCCATCTCCCTTCTTTTTCCTTCCCTCTTCTTTCCCTCCCTCCCTCCCCACATATATTAGAGGCTTGTGCAACTTTCAGAAAAGCCCTTGCCTCCACCTTGGCTGACACAGGAACTTTGCTGCGGGGAGGTGGAAATTCTGGTAACCATGACAAAAAAACAACACCTCCTCGCCAGCAGTCATCACCCAGAGAAGCAGAGATTAACACCAAGATTTATACCAGAAGTAAACAATACCATAACCAAGGGACTACCAAGAAAAAAAAAATAGCCCACCCTCACCAACACTGGCAGGGCAAGCCACTGCATATAAACTGAGAGCAAACCCCACTCCCTTCGAGCACTGAAGATGTTACCCAGCCGGGTAATGAAACATTTGCAATCAATCAACCAAGCTCAGAACCCCCAGGACGCCACAGTTTCCGTAGTATATAGATAACAAAGGGAACGCAGATGGGTGGATTGAGTCTGTCTGAGCGAATGTGGGAAAAGGAAAGGGCTTCCCATGCCTAAATGAATGCGGAGGAATTCACTAGACACTTTTTTATATATCAAAGTGTAATCTGAACAATAACCCATCACCCATTCTTACTGTACTTTGCTTAGCTGTCTGTGTTACAAATTCTTTCTAGTAAATTTCCTGCTCAGTTCATTGGTTAATAACCAGGTGAAATGCAGCGCTGTAACGTCTGCCTCGTGTATGCCCCGAGTCACCAGTGGTGCAGAGAGGAAATAAGAGGTTTTGGATTTTGCTTCCACACCAAGGGCAGCGCTGTTTGAATGAACCCTGCTGGAGTCAGGAGCTGTATTTGCAGATTAAAAGCTCTTGTGCGGGGAGCATCCCACAGCGGTTCTATGAATGAAAAGTTTATGGATAGCGAGCAAAGGGAATATTAATCACTTTCCCAAGATGCTCGATCACAATATCAATATGAATGAGAGTTAAAATATTGGAGAAGACCACTAATTCTCTGCAAATGCTTGGTGATTTTCGGGAGGGGCTTCTCTCTGACACCTGTATCCTTTCTGGCCTAAGCAAACTTAGCAAGAACTGGACCTAAACCACCCAGAGTCGTTTTTTAAAGAGATGGGTGGTGACCAACTTGTATCTAAATAAAAATAAATCAATAAAAAGGAGCGACCCAACCAGACGCTGCACTTTGTCTTCCTTACCTGTCTTGCAATACTGTTCTCCCCCGGAATCGTTCGGGTGCCTTCAAGTCAGTCTTGACTCCTGCCGATCACCTAAAGGATCCTGCAGCTTTCTCGGAAGGTTGTTTGGAAGCGCTTTGCCCTCGCCGGCTCCTCCTTCCTGGGGCGGGGAGAGAGACTGGCACAATGTCACCCAGCCTAGTTTGTGCCTCGAGTGGGACCGGAACTGACTGGCTTGCACCCAGGCGCCTTCACCACTTCACCAAAGCGGCTCTCTGTTCTTAATAACGGAGAACACTGAATCAGTCAAAGGATTTAACCCCACCGCGCTCACTGTTCCGCGGAGCTCCCCAGGATGGAAACGCAGCGAGCAGCTGGCTGCTTCCTCCGGGCCGGGAATGGGTGAAAGCAGAAAAGAGGTTTCTGCTCGATCTGCTGCTTGTCGAGAGCGGAGAAGACTTCTCAGGGCGAGGACGCTCCTACCAACAGTGTCAAAAAGGAAATTAAAAACCAGATCGGGAAGCCAACGTCCAGCGACCAGACGGCGAGCGGGCACCCTTAGGGCTCTTTCGAAGTCATCTGATACTTTTTACCTCGAAAGCAGTCGATCCTCCTTCTAATACTGATTGGCTGGAGGGAACCTCCTAGGAAGGCAAATTGCTGAGGTGCTAAGTAAGCCATAACTCACCTTGACTTAATTCACCGAGGTGGGGAGAGAAGAACCCTGTTACTCCACGCCTGCGTTTCTCAACCTTAGCAACTTGAAGATGTGTGGACTTCAATTCCCAGAGTTCCCCAGCCAGCCATGCTGGCTGGGGAACTCTGGGAGTTGAAGTCCACACACCTTCAAGATGCCACAGTTGAGAAACACTGTTATGGGGGCAAAGAACTAAGAGCCTGATAGCACTTTTGCTGACTAAGGTGTTTTATTAATGGGCATAAGCTTTTGGAAGCTGCCGTTCAGTTCATCAGATGTGTAGAGTGGCTAAACTGATGTAGGATTTAAATTGGGGTGAGGCGGGGATGGAGGGGCAGCAAATGGGTGGTGGAGGTTGCTGGGCTTGGGACCGGAGAGGTATTCGTGTTCAAGTCCTCCTTCGGCAACAGAAACACACTGTTTGGGCCAGTTATTCTCTCAATCCATTTTACCTCCTGGATGGTTTTTATGGGGATTAAGTGAGGGACAGAGATCCTCCTGTAAGTGGAGAAAAATGGGGTATAAATCTAATGGGAATGCCTTTTTTTTAGTGTTCTGTAATCCCAGCCTGCTTAAGAGCTGCAGATCCTGCCTGTTTCAGACCCCACAGCTGTGACCACCTGGTTTTCAAGGGAGATCTGAAAGGGGAGCTTTGCATCTAGAAGTTGTTTTGGCCCTTAGAGATGGCGAAAGAGATGACAGACCCACTCTCTGCTGGTTTCTCACCAGGTTCAGGGTTAATTCCGTGAGGCTCTGAGTTACGGCTTTCTCTCCCGTGCTTCCACCTTTTTGATGTGTATTTGAGATAGAAAAGAGGCTTTTCCATCCTCATGTATTTCTGAATGAATCCAACCCACTCAATTTGAGGTCCATTGGGTCCCTTGGATTTGCAGTTTGGGACAGTGACCAAGCTACCCATTTAACCCAGAAGGGAATCATGTAAACCCACTGACTCCCTCCATAGAGAGATGTTTCTTCTCACTCCTGAAAAGAACTGATTTATTTCACGGCTGTGAGAAGATGACCAGCTAATGAAGAGATATTGTGGTCTTCCTCTTCTCACTGGCTGGGCCTATCCAGATAATTGCTAGCACTTGTAACCTTCCTTTAGCACAGCTGAATGTCCAGAACTACATGTACACCTGATGGTCATGAGAGTGGAAGATAGGGAGAGTGTAAGATAGGCTTTCTAAGGCCGGGTGAAGGCTCAGAGCAGCTGACTTCTGCTTTGGCTGCTATGTAAGTACCATTACTGTGGGCAACAGGTCCTGCTGCTTGAGTGAGGGGTCACTACAGCTGTTACTGCTTAAGGAAGGCAGCCATGGACGATGCTGGAGTGTGCTGAGTCCCTGGAGAGGAACCTGAAGACTCCTAGAGCATCTGAAAAACAGAAGAAACCAGACAGAGGTCTGTGGCTAATGGAGGGTCATCACTGCAGCTGAGATCCATAGGGAGGAATGATGCAAGGAACAGAGATCCAGTTCAGCCAAGGAGAAGTAGGTTGATCAGATAAAGGAGCTGATCAAAGAACTGCAGTAATGTTCTAAAGCAGGGTTCCTCAACCTCAGCAACTTTAAGATGGGTGGACTTCAACTCCCAGAATCCCCCATCTTAAGATGGGTGGACTTCAACTCCTAGAATCCCCCATCTAAAAGTTGCTGAGGTTGAGGAACCCTGTTTTAAAGGATTTGATTCCCCTTCCTCAGTTCTTTCTCCCTGCTAGTAAGGATGGGAGGGGAGGGGACAGGATGGACCGGACTGGACTAAGTTGCATCACTGGGCATGGCAAAAGGAAAACAAGAAGTCTTGGCGAAGTCACAAAAAGGAAGCTAGCCGGAAGGCAAAATAAACAAAGCTTTCTTCTGCAGGAAAAGGAGGGACAAAGAAAGGGAGGCACAGGCAGGAAAGAGAAAGCACTGCTAATTTAGACACATAATTTCCTGCCTACTTCGAAACCACTTTAAGCCAGTTTATTGAGGCCGATACACTTGCAAGAAAAGCACCGTGCCTAATAGTTCACAACTATTGTTAAGAGAAAGAGCAAAGATGATACTGTAGACAGTTTGATTATAACACCCCTCCCCAAAATAGTTTAAATTGTTTGTGTCCATTGCCTGAGAATAGAACACTACGTTAACATTTCCACACCACCACACCCCCTCCCCAGACCAACTTATTCCAACAACCAAACTTTGGAGGACAGCATCCAACACAGAATTTCAGCTCAACTCAAGTGATGATTCACATCCAGAGCTTCTGTCTCACAAACCCACATGGAGATGATGAAATTCAAGAATTTCAGTTCAAGTCAAGTGTTGATTTATATCCAGAGGTACTGTCTCACAAACCCACATGGAGAGAGTAATGCAGGCTTCAGCAATAACTTTGTGCCCGTTCAACATCCCGCAGCTGTTTCCTAAGAAGGGCCCCAGTTCTTGCAGCCTGAAGAATAAAAGAGATAATGATGGTTTTTACAAAGAACAGCACATCTTTCTGCCATCTCCTCCTCCTCCTCCTCCTCCTCCTCCTCTTTCTTCTTCCTTTTTCTCTCGTTTCTCTTGTTCTTGGCTGGACTTTTCTATTCCACATAGCCAGCCTTTCAATATTGATATGTTGATAAGATATTAAAATATAACAGATATACATCTTTTCTTTTAATTTTCCTCCAGGAGCAACAGTGTCTCCACCATCACAACCACCACAATGTTGTATGAGATGTCAAAATGTATAAAGGAATATCAAGCCAGTGTTGGAAGCATGAAAAGGAAGAGGGGACCTTCTATCATGCATGGTGGACCTGTGAAAAAGCAAAGAAATTTTGGGTGCAAATCCATACAGTGGTGCAATAGATATTTTGGATTAATATTATGATGAATCCAGAATTTTTTCTGTTGGGTTTTATGGACATTGAACTAGAAAAGAAATAAGGGGAAATTAATACTAGATATGGTAACTGCAGCAAAATTATTGTATGTACAAAGATGGAAAAATAATGAAATTCCCACAATGGAATATTGGATTATAAAATTGATGGAGCTTGTGGAAACAGCGAAGATGACCAGTTTGGTCAGGAAGAAAAAATGATAAAGAAGTTTTTGAAGAAAAGTCTGAATTGATTTGTGGATTTGAGGACTAGAAAGGGTTAAAAGGGAAGGGGAAAGGAATTACAAAAAAACAAAAAAAAAAGAGGGAGGGGAAAGAGTAAGATGATAACTACTTGACAGAAAGAAGGGCAGAAGTCAAAATTATACATCACCCAAGGACCTTTTGTAGTCAAGGGTGGATTCCCTGGTTTTAGTCCAACACTTTGACCATTAATGAATTCAAGCTCTTGAATTTTCCCTGAATGTGTATAATGTTGAGGAAATCTGGAAGGCTTCTCTTGGGAATTATTTAACGGCTTGTCCACAAAGGGGAAAAAATGATTCATTCTATTCCATCCCAAATGTTGTACAATGTGCCTGCATGACTCTTGTGATGAGATCTATCCACAAGCTATACTTTGTAAAAACTTGTTCAGCAATGTGAGATCAAATGCCAAGAATGGAGGATGCTAACTTGGTTGCTAGGAGGAAAATGTTTGTGGAGGCATTTAGAGAGGTGTCAGTTGGGGGTCTGAAATAATGCATGTACTTTTGTATGCAAAATGCCATGGTGTTCACTGAGGAGTATGGATCTGCATGTAAAGATCAAGGTAGCTATGTTTGACAGTGGACAGCAGCCTTGTAAAGTCTAGTCCAGACAAGAAACACACCCAGAAGTACTAGCTCTAACTTTTTGTAAGGTTACATGAACAGGATCTTTTAGTATTGTTTTAATTTTGGATGTATTATGTGCTTTAGATATATTTATAGTTTTAATGTTTTTTGTAAGTCACCCAGAGTCCCCTATTGTGGGGGAGATGGGCAGGGGAGAAATCAAACAAACAAACAAACAAATAAATAAATCTTGCAAGTCTGAAAGTACATCTCCCCCCACCCCCCAGCCTTTACAGTCCAAGAAACAAGGGAGGGTCCCTTCTGAGATGTTTGCCAGATCCCCATTCCTTCTGCGGACTCAGCTGCCACTTCTCTGACTGTTGTCTAGTCTGTGGCTCTTCCTTCTGTCTCCTGAGGGCATTTCCACATGCCATTACCCCACCTGAATGGATGATTTCTGATTGTACAGTATTCATTTTTACACAGAGATAACCTGCATGTTGTTTAGTGGATAGAACTGTCCACTGTAGGATTTCAGTAAGAAGCCTAGGAAAAAATGCTCACAGTTTTTCATTCAAAGGGGAATCATCAACCCACATCCACTTTCTTCCTGGAAATGTTCCTACCAAGCCAATCCATAGCGACTCTGTCTCTTCAGAAATACTCTGGATAAATGTCTGTTAAAAAAGCATTCGATTAGATGTTGCTGAACAGTGAAACCTTGATTTTAGTGACTCATTCAGCAGACTTTGGATGCAACAAAATTATAGTTCAGACCACCATATCTGAAACAGTCCAGACAAATGATGTAATTCACATCATTTCTATAAATGTACAGCATTTGCATAATTACATCAATAATGTAAATATGGATTTAATGGATATTTGGATTTCAAAGACACCCTTTCCCTCCAATTGTTCTGTAAAACTGAAGGTTGGATGTATTGAAGTAATGTATTTAGGATGGTTACAATGAAGACATTTCAGGATATACATACAGGTAGTCCTCAGGTTACGACCATTCGTTCAGCCACCATTCAAAGTTATGATGGTGCTGAATGAGAGAGACTTATAACCAGTCCTCAGAGTTCTGGTTGTCTCAGCATCCCTGCAGTCATCTGTTCACGATCCAGGTGCTCAGGTGGATTATGATATCGCAGTGAGCTGTGGTCATATAATCATGATTTCCCATATTCCCTGCTAGCTTCCCACAAGCAAAGTCAATGGGGAAGCTGGCAGGAAGTTGGATGTCACTCCCTCTCCCGCTGCTTTTTCACCCACCCATGCTCCATAACCCCTGCCTGTGACAACCCCCATCCCCCTGCAGCACCCACACACTCACTCCTTTGCCTGCTTGCCTGGGATTCCCGCCTCTTCCGGCTTAACAATCCGCGTGGTCCCAGGGTTATGATGACAACTAGGACTTCCTGGATTGCCATTGCTAAGTGATGCAGTCAGATGACATTGTGCTTTACAACCGCATCACTTAGCAATGGAAATTCCAGTCCCAGTTGCTGTCGTAACCCGAGGACTATCTGTAATGGTTTCTTGGAAACAGTCCAGGGAAATGTGGTGCAACACGACGGCTGGTTTGGTGTAGTGGTTAAGGTGCTGGTGAAGAAACTGGAAGACCGTGAGTTCTAGTCCTCCCTTAGGCATGAAAGCTGGCTGGGTGACTTTGGGCCAGTCCCTCTCCCTCTCTGCCCAACCCACCTCACAGGTTGTTACTGTGGGGAAAATAGGAGGTGGAAGCATTATGCACAGCACCTTGAGTTGTACAAATAAGGTGGGATATAAAGCTAATGATAAAAACATTTGCTGAAATAGACTGAAATATTTGCTGAAATTTTTGCTGAAGGTCGTTCATCCTTGCAGGAGGGGGTGTTCCCGAAGCCTTTCAAAGAGGCTTTGGTCCGCCCTCTCCTCAAGAAACTGTCGCTAGACCCCACCCTCCTGGACAACTTTCGTCCAGTCTCCCACCTCCCCTTTTTAGGGAAGGTGGTGG